GCTGGACGTGGTGGTGCACAGCTCCTGGGGTGGAAGGATCGCCTGAGCCCAGGAGGTGGAGTTCGAGGCTGTGGTGAGCCGTGTTCGGGCCACTGCACTCTAGCCTGGGTCAGAGACTCCGACTCAAGAAAAAAGAAGGGAAAGGGGGAGAGATTCACAGTACAGGTGGTTACACTCAGCAGTTTTGTGGTTTCTGGCTTCTTAAGTTTATTTAGTTAGGGCCTCTTGCTTTTTGTTTTTGTTTGATTTTGTTTCTCAGAGAGACTACTGAGAATTACTTCTCTTTAGACCCTCCTGTAAAAGTCCTGTACATTCAGCCAAGAGGGAAGACTAAACCTCCAGCAGAGATAGCACTCACTTCCTGAATGTGGATATCGTCCAGTTTTGCCACTCAGAAATGAGCATTTGCAAGAATATTTTGATGTTAAAACGGGGTGGGAATTGATGTGTTAAAATGAAATCTTGGGGCTATCTGTAGATTTCATGTCACCCACAAAACACCTATGGAGCATAGGCCTCGCAAAGTCCAAGAAACGTTGAATGCAGAATAATTCATTAATCCTTAGTAGGGGCTCTTGGCGTTACAGCCTTGGTTCTGAAACCTGACCTTACCTCAGAGGCACCTGGGAAGTATTTTCCTTGGGGAAGATAACCCAAGTAGTATCCGTAGGTCTTAAAAAATAGTGAAATTCTCTCCCTGCCCACCCCGGCCTTCCTAAGTCCCCCTCCTCAGCGCCTGCTGTGGCTTCTCATGTTTCCTTCCAGACATATTTCGGGCTTATGGAAGCTGTGTGTTCCCTCACCCAATACTTTGATGCAGATGACATTACCTGCTACACCTACTTAGCCCAAGTCTGGAAGACAGACCTGAGGCAAGGACAGCTTTGCTCCATTGAGGCACAGCTCCAGCCTGGTGCGGTGGCTCACGCCTGTAGTTCCAGCACTTTGGGAGAGTGAGGCAAGACGCCTGCCCGAGTCTAGGGTTCGAGACCAGCCTGGGAAACTTGGCGAGACCTCGTGTCTACAGTAAATCAAAGAAAAAAAGGCCGGGCTCGGTGGCTCAGCCTGTCATCCCAGCACTTTGGGAGGCCGAGGTGAGTGAATTGTCTTAGCCCGTGGGTTCGAGACCCGCCTGGGCAACTTGGTGAGACCTCATCTCTACAATAAATCTAAAAATTAGCCGGGCATGGTAGCGCGTGCCTGTAGTTCCAGCTACTCAGGAGGCTGAGGCGGCAGGATCGCCGGAGCCCAGCAGGTCGAGGCTGCGGTGGCCGGGAGCGGCCACTGCACTCCAGTCTGGGCGACAGAGTGAGACTCCGACTCAAAAAAAAGAAAAAGAAAAAGAAAAAAAAGCCAGGCATGGTAGCGTGTGCCTGTAGTTCCAGCTACATGGAAGGCTGATGTGAAAGGATCTCTTGAGCCCAGCAGGTTAAGGTGGCCATGAGTGTGCCACTGTACTCCAGCATGTGCGACAGAGTGAGACTCCAACTCAAAAAAGGTTTGCTTTCCTTGGTACATGTCCGCGTGCGTGCGTGTGTGTGTGTGTGTGACATGTATCCACGCACAGGAGTTTCTTCCCTAGATGACTGAGGATGCACACTGCTCACATTTCACTCAGGAGCCCTTAAATGGAGACAGGTATAGATTGACTTCACTGTCTACAGTGACTGCACAGGTTTCATGGCATGGATGCAGCATACTGCCGAGTTACTTCCCTATGGGCATTTAAGTTCTTCCATTTTTACTTGCACAAATAATGCTGTAATGACAATCCTCATACAGTGGCTTTTGTGACACATGGTTCTTAAAAGTAAGACTAAGGGCCACAGCCGGGCTCGGTGGCTCAGCCTGTCATCCCAGCGCTTTGGGAGGCCGAGGTGAGTGGATTGCCTGAGCCTGCGGGTTCGAGACCAGCCCCGGCAACTTGGCGAGACCTCGTCTCTACAATAAATCAAAAATTAGCCGGGCGTGGTAGCGCGCGCCTGTAGTTCCAGCTACTTGGAAGGCTGAGGCGGCAGGATCGCTGGAGCCCAGCAGGTCGACGCTGGGATGGCCGTGGGCATGCCACTGCACTCCAATCTGGAGAACGGAGTAAGACTCTGACAAAAAAAAAAAAAAAAAAAAAAAAGTAAGACCAAGAACTCAAATGGAAACACTTAGGACTTCAGAGCAATATTTTCCAGTACTGGTTCAGCAAGCTGTAACAGGTGCTCCCGGGAGGAAAAAGAGTGCCAAAGTTTGGGAAACATAATTTTCCAAACAATAGTTATTTTCCTAATTCTTGTGAAGCGGATGACCAATATCTATTAAGCAAGACTGATTATATACTGTAGAAGAGGAAACATACTGAAAGACCAAACACTTGTTCTGAATTCTGGGGAAATCTGTGAGGACACCTCCAGTTTTTCATCCCCCCAAGTATCTTCTTATCTGTGACCATAATCTGTTACCTCAGAGGTAAGATACATAAATGAGACATGACTCTTCAGTTTCTTTTTTACCGGCTTCATATAGAACCAATCACTCACTGTAAATGAGATCATGATACCAACAGCCTGCATCCCACGGGGAAGACTTCTGTGTTATCTAGACAATATCATGGAATAAGAGTTCAGCTTTGTGGTTTTTTAAAAGGTATTATCTCTTAGGTTCTCAGTCTCTCATTTACAAAATAAGAAGTAGCCAGGTGTGGTGGCTCAAGCCTGTAATCCTAGCACTTTGGGAGGCGGAGGTGAGAGGATTGCCTGAGGTCAGTGGTTCGAGTCCAGTCTGAGCAACATGGTGAGACCTCGTCTACCATAATCAAAAAATTAGTCAGGCGTGGTGGCGCATGCCAGTCCAGCCACTTGGAAGGCGGAGATGGAAGGATCGCCTGAGCGCACTAGGTCGAGGCTGCGGTGGCCATGCGTGTGCACTCAAGCCTGGGTGACAGAGTGACTCCGACTCAAAAAAATAAAAAAAAAATAAGTAATTAAAAGACAAGACGTATTAACCAGATACCTCATGGCTAGAAAACGACAGCATTTGTGCTATTTTCTAGTGGCCCCAGTAAACTTTCATCGGACACCCAGATCTTGACGTAGGTAGAATCACACAGGTAAAAGCCTATTCCCCGGGATTCCCCTTGGCTCAGGCAGCTTCCTCGCGTCCCTGAGACTCCATTTTCCGTCACATCCACCTCTCAGAATGCAACGAGAGGGAGTACAGCCAAGCACCTTGCAGATCGGCTACAAAATGTGACCTGTCTGCAGAAGAAGCTGCAGAGGTCACCAGCAGTGCCTCTGAATAGACTTCTGCCCAAGTCCCACATCACAACTTTGTATTGAAGTTAGCTTCAGGAAATTATTTTCTTTTACTTAGAGACGGGGTCTTGCTCTGTTTTCCAGGCTAGGGGACCGTGGCACGGTCACAGTCACTGCAGCCTCGAACCCTCGAGCACAAACGATCCTCATGCCTCAGCCTCCATAGCAGCTGGGGGAACTACAAGTGTGTGCCACCATACATGGCTTGTTTGTTTGTTTTTCAGTTGGGGTCTCACTCTGCTGTCCAGACTGGAGTTCAGTGGCATCATGAGTCACTGCAGCCTTGAACTGCTGGGCCCAGGTGATCCTTCTACCTCAGCCACCCGAGGAGCTGGAACTACCGGTGCGTGCCACCATGCCTGGCTAATTTTGTTTTAGTTTTTGTAGAGACAGACTCTTGTTATGTTGTCCGGGCTGGACTGGAACTCCTGGGCTCAAGCACCCCTCCCACCTTGCCCTCCCAAAGTGCTGCGATTGCAGGTGTGAGCCACCATGCCTGGCATGTTATTTTAAAATTTTATACAGCAAACGAAAAATCCTGGGAAATGAAAACACAACAAGATAAATATATTTCTTTTTCTTTTTTTTGAGTTGGAGTCTCACTCTGTCACCCAGTGGCAGTGCAGTGGCCGCTCCCAGCCACCGCAGCCTTGACCCGCCGGGCTCCGGCGATCCTTCCGCCTCAGCCTTCCGAGTAGCTGGAACTACAGGTGCGCGCTACCACGCCTGGCTAAATATATTTCAAAAATTAACTTTCAATCACTCCTAGTTACTGTGACTTCATAGAGCGTTAAGGTTATATGGTTATAATGTTAGTTTGGCTAATCTAAGATCCTTGTAGTCAATCGCAAACAGTTAAATAACTTGTAGTTTTCCCCCCATACCATTACTTTTTCTTTTTTGAGTTGGAGTCTCACTCCATCATCCAGGCTGGAGTGCAGTGGCACACTTATGGCCACCCCAGCATCGACCCGCTGGGCTCTGGCAATCCTTCCGCCTCAGCCCTCCAAGTAGCCACAGCTACAGGTGCACGTTACCACACCCGGCTAATTTTTTATTTCTTGTAGTGACAAGGTCTCGCCAAGGTGCCCAGGCTGGTCTCAGACCCGTGGGCTCAGGCAATCCACTCGCCTCAGCCTCCCAAAGTGGTGGGATTACAGGCTGAGCCACTGAGCCCAGCCATTTTTGCTTTGTTTTTAAGATGTTGGCAAACACTGAAAACTTCATAAAATACAGCAATGTAATTTATAAATAAAATGTCAATACAATATCAAATTTCTTGTAGAAAATGTTTGATTTAAGCTGCCTCCTAAAATTTACAGATATCTAGAAAGTACAATTTCTCAAAATGTAGCAACATTTATGTAATCCTTTTTCAAAGTCTCTGGATATAAACAGCTCTCAGTTCTAATTCCAGCTCACTTGTCTTCAAAATCTGATACCTGATGGCAAAGAACGGGACCTTTGAAGAGTTCTCCTATAGTCTGGATCTGTTGCAGCGTGCCGGGTTGAACAAATGCAGCACCCAGAACTAAAAAGCTGGACGCTTGAATGTACAGGGTCACGCAAAACAGAGACTCCTGAAGTTTTATGCCAGGCCTTTTTGAGTGGGAAGTTCTCTTTCAAAGGATTTTTTTCCTTATTCTCTTTTGAGGCAGCCTCTTTATCTTCCAGTGCTCGAGCAAGCATATAACTAACCTTTCTTTGATGAGCCAAAGCTTCTTCTTTGTCATTCAGCTGCATGCACAGAAATTAAAGATGTGCCAGTTAGTCAATCAATCACCGAATATATTCAGATAAAGGACTATTGTGGTATTTTACCAAAATGTTCAAGCCTAGGCAACATAGCGAGACGCTGTCTTTACATAACATTTTTTACAATTCAAAAAACACTACTGGGCACGGTGGTTCATGCCAGTAATCCCAGCACTTTGGGAGGCAGAGGTGAGAGGATTGCCTGAGCCCAGGGGTTTGAGGTCAGCCCGGGCAACTTGGCGAGACCTCGTCTCTACAATAAATCAAAAAATTAGCCAGGCGTGGTGGGGCATGCCCGTGGTTCCAGCTACTTGGAAGCCTGAGATGGAAGGATGGCCTGAGCCTTATAGGTCAAGGCTGCGGTGGCCGTGGGTGTGCCACTGCACTCCAGCTGGGGCAACAGAGTGAGACTCTGATTCTGTCCATCTATCATGCAAATGAAAAATGAATAAATAAAACTAGCTGAGTGTGGGGCGCATGCCTGTAGTCCCAGCTACTTGGGAGGCTGAGGCAGGAGGATTGCTTGAGCCCAGGAGTTCGAGGCTGCAGTGAGCCATGATTGTGCCATTGCACTCCAGCCTGTGCACCAGAAAAGACTCCGACTCAAAAACCAAAAAAAATCCAACCCTAAATCTATCAAGTCAACCAATACAAATAAGTTAATTAGGTATTACCTGATCCCCAAGCATTATGCTACGTGTTATTGAGGTTTCTTTTTCTTTTTTGAGTCAGAGTCTCCCTCTCAGCACAGGCCGGAGTGCATTGCACGCTCACGGCCACCACAGCTTCGACCTGCTGGGCTCCAGCGATTCTTCCGCCTCAGCCTTCCAAGTAGCTGGAACTACAGGCACACGCCACCACGCCCGGCTGTTGATTTATTGTAGAGATGAGGTCTCGCCAAGTTGCCCAGGCGGGTCTCGAACCCACAGGCTCAGGCAATCCACTCACCTCAGCCTCCCAAGGCGCGGGATTACAGGCTGAGCCACCGAGCCCGGCTCTGTTTTATTTCTGAAAAAATACACAGCTATTTAGCTGTGAAATTGTTTTCGTATATTTACACGGAGATCAATCCCACTCTTTGGAGAGAAGTATGTTCACGTAGCCTGAGTCTCTCAGTGTCTCAGTTTAGTCATCTGTGGGATGCAGATAGCAGGCCTGGTTTCAGGCTTGTGATAATTAAAGGGCGCCATGTGTGAGGAAGTGCCTCGAGTGCTTTAAGGGTGCCCGGATAAATAGATGGTCTTGTCACAACTGCATGTGCAGGCGACAGAGCTGGCTGGAATTCGTTACAGGAGCCCCCTCCCTTCAGAGGTGGAGGCTTAGGCCTGCCCGGAAGGAGCACAGACAGGAGTGACAAGAGCATTCGGGCGTTTAAGGAGCTGAAGATCTTGCTTCCGGGATATGGTTTCCTGGGAAAAGGCCAGAAGAGGCAAGCACACACACAGAGGGTGAAGAGTTGAATTAACAGAAAGCAAAAGACACTGGCTGAACCACAGCCTGCAACAAGCTACTCGCACAGATACTAACCAAGTCTACCAGCGTCTTAAAGACCTCTTGAGGATTCTGCTGGTCTTCCGTCCTCTTAGAGCTGTGTTCTGAAGGGAGCATAGCCAAGAGTTTCTGCCCTAAAGTCTTCTTACTCCTTGGTGACGGAAATCCTGAAATTGAACGTGAAAATCCAGCTGAGACACACAAATACCTTCACTGATAATGCTTCCAGGAAAAGAGGTAACTGCGAACCGAGGCTAATTAAATCTGAAGACTCCAGAGGTTCCCCTCTGCAGCAGGGTGCCAGGAGTAAGCCAGGCAGCCCAGCACGGTGGCAAGAGCGTGGCCTTCCGGGCGGCAGGGTAGGCGACCAGGAGTAGAGCACCACCTGTGCCACCTGCCACGTGGCACAGCAGACCGTCGGCTCCCACTGACGGCAGCCGTCTCATTAGGTCACCACCATAGTCAAGAGCAGCCAGAAATCCAGATTTGTACATGACATCTTCCAGGGTTAAATGTCAGCCACTAGTCCCTGTTTTTTGAAAACACTATGCAGACCCAGCAGAACACATGTGCAGACCTCAGAAGGCCTCTGAGCCCTGCAAACTCTGCCTTAGAGCCTGGATTTGAATCTTCGTTTAGCTACTTACTAACTGTATAACCTTGGATGAATTTTCTGAGCTTCATTTTCCTGCTCTCTTTAATGGGAACAGCCGGGTGCAGTGAGCGACTCATGCCTGTAATCCCAGCACTTCAGGAGGCCGAGGCGCAAGGATTGAGTTCAGGGGTTTGAGACCGGTCTGGGCAATTTGGTGCGACCTCATCTCTACAATAAATCAAAAAACTAGCCAGGCACGGTGGTGCGTGCTTATAGTTCCAACTACTCGGAAGGCTGAGATGGAGGGATCACCTGAGTCCAGCAAGTCAAGGTTGCAATAGCTGTGAGCATGCTGCTGCACTCTAGCCTGGGAGACAGAGTGAGACTCTGAATAAAACTTCTTTTTAAAGTTGATACTATAAGTGTTACTAAACATAAGAAGATAATCATAGGCCAGGCTCCGTGGCTCAGCCTGTAATCCCAGTACGTTGGGAGGCCGAGGCGAGTGGATTGCCTGAGCCTTTGGGTTCAAGACCCACCCAGGCAACTTGACAAGAGCTTATCTCTACAATAAATCAAAAATTAGCCGGGCATGGTAACACATGCCTGTAGTTCTGGCTACTTGGAAGGCTGAGGCAGGAGGATCACCGGAGCCCAGCAGGTGGAGGCTGCGGTGGCTGGGAGCGTGCCACCGGACTCCAGTCTGGCCGACAGAGTGAGACTCCAACTCAAAAAAAAAAAAAAGAAGATAATCATCCTGTATCTCTTAAGATTATTGAACTATACTAATAAAATGAATTTAAGTCTTGTCGCTAAGAAACTCAACAAACCCTACTGACCTTGTATGGACTGGTAAAAGCTGTAAGAGATGAATCAATTATAAGTTCTGCTTCCACTCTTTCTCGGTGCCTTATTGGAACTGAAGGGTTGGGAGCTATGCATCTCTGAATTATACTTAACATGGAAAAGTTCTTTAGGCTTGTCAACAGCGGAATGTGATACTGTGACATAAAAGTACACATTTGGTCTCTGCTCCCGGTTCCCACGCGAAGCTCCTAAACCCTGGTGGGTGGGGTGCTGGGCGAATCTTGCGTTCCATCGTCTCGGACCCCATTTCCTAGCACGGAATCCCAGAACCGCGGGTGATTTCCCGAGTGACGCGGCGGACGCGGAGCTCCCAAGTCCCTCGGAAGGGACACCCTCCGCTCTAACGGGGCCTCAGGACGGGGTCCGGTCGCCGGGAGCCAACTTGCGAGTAGAGGGTTGGGCTTTGGCCTCCATGTTGTACTAGCCTGCCCACGTGCAGCAGCAGGAAGAGGC